CTCTATGTATTGATTGATTTGTGTATGGATATGAGACCAAGGTATGTTTCTCCTCCCCATTCATGATGTCAGTAAACACATCACCCGCCCCCCTCACCTCATGTGATGTGTCTTCAACAAACTTCACGTCACTGCTGCAGTATACACGTACACTACTCCCGGCAGTGTACACACACACTGCTCCCCCTCACATAAACACACAAGGTACAAAAACTGACGAGTGGACACGTGAAGCAGCAGTCACAGCAGCATCCAACTACAAAGCCACGACATTCTAGGTGTTAACCCAGGAAAAACTACGATAGCTAAGCAGTATGGCTTATTTCCACTGAGATCGTTGTCATCCTACCCCGGGATGCCACCCGCAACAGCTGTTTACCAGCAGACTCGTCTGTACGCCTCATCGCACCTGGAAGTCGAACCCGGGTTCTTTGGCTTGTGAGCCGACCACTACAAGTGAGGTAGAGGTCATCCTGGTGGTGGCTTGGTCATACCTCGGGCCACAGCCTCGCTCCTCTCCTGTGAGTCCCTCTTCAGTGGTAGTCCTGGAGGTCGCACTGATGCCACTAGCTGTGATGTCATATGTGTTGCCACCACTGTGATGTCATATGTGTTGCCACCACTGTGATGTCATTCAAGTTGGTCATATATGTGATGTCACTAGCTGTGATGTCACATATGTGATGCCACTAGTTGTGATGTCACTAGCTGTGATGTCACTTATGTGATGCCACTAGTTGTGATATCACTGTGACGTCACATATGTAATGGCACTAGTTGTGATGTCACATCAGCCCAGGGCCACCCTGGGGACCTCACACACTAAAGCCTCTCACTATACTTTTGTCCTCACAATTTCCCCTCTTTGTTCACCTCTATTTTTACTCTCCCCATTTTCTTCTGGCTGTCTCTTCTGTCTTTATCGTCGCCCAGTTGTCTCTTCTGTATTACCTAGTTATCTCTCCTACCTTTGTGTGTTTTACATTTCTGTTGCTCTTCTAGATTCCTGTCTAGGAGGACAGGTATGCTCTTCTAGACTCCTTCTGCCTGGGAGGACAGGTATGCTCTTCTAGACTCCTTCTGCCTAGGAGGACAAGTATGCTCTTCTGGACTCCTTCTGCCTAGGAGGACAAGTATGCTCTTCTGGACTCCTCATGCCTGGGAGGACAAGTATGCTCTTCTAGACTCCTGCCTAGGAGGACAAGTATGCTCTTCTAGACTCCTCCTGCCTAGGAGGACAAGTATGCTCTTCTAGACTCCTTCTGCCTAGGAGGACAAGTATGCTCTTCTAGACTCCTCCTGCCTAGGAGGACAAGTATGCTCTTCTAGACTCCTCCTGCCTAGGAGGACAAGTATACTCTTCTAGACTCCTTCCTAGGAGGACAGGTAAGCCTCTTCAGTTAAAATTACTTTCTAACCTGTGTATTTTTATGCATAGTTCTTAGGGTCGCAAGTTTGTGTACAAGTGTACAATAATATCTGAGATTTACACTTACAAGTGTAAGAAGTTAGAGGATCACAGACTGTGTATGTAATGATACGATTTGATTTGTTTGTTATCGTGTTATTACGATTTCGTGTAATGATGGCGGCTTTGACTGGACTTGAACTAGAGCACGTCACAACCACGCTGGTGTGGGATTCGCGTCTGGCAGTCCTGCGACCCCGGAATAGGAAGGCTTGATCAGGGATATTTCACTAGATTTACGAGGCCCTGGCCAGTTTTCCCTCAAAAACTAAATTGTCGAGCCGTAGATCGTAGTCCTCCAAGGTATGATCAGAATTCATTTTAGACATTACTTTGGACATTACCCGAGTTATGGTCAACATCAGGGAAGAGGCGTGGGTGGCTACATGGGGTTGGGACATCATCTACAACTAAGAACAGTGTTGCCAAGCAACAATAAAGCATCTTTTATGGGTGATCTCCCTGACACACCTACAGTTAAATATCCAGTGTAATACTGACAAAGATAAGTCTCTCCAGGGAAACAGAAATTACAACACCATAGGCTTCTAATAACACTGAGGAGTTTAATGAAGTCTCAGAAATTGGAAGTACTCACTTATGTAAGAGGAAACAGTAAGCTCCGGTATTCCCGAAGGTGCCCCGTGGTCTAGTGGCAAAAGCTCTCGCTTCACGCGTTGATTCCGGGTTCGATTCCCGGCGAGGGTAGAAATATTGGGTGTGTTTCCTTACACCGGTTGTCTATGTTCACCCATCAGTAAAATGGGTACCTGGGTGTTAGTGGACTGGTGTGGGTCGCATCCTGGGGACAAAACTTACCTAATTTGAGCGAAATGCTCAGCATAACAAAGGGCTTTCTATATAGTAGTATGTCATTGATGTCGGCTATGGTCTGTATACCTTGTACATGTACTGGTAGAAATAAAGCTGTTAATGGGATTTCCTGCTCCTTAATTGAGATTTGACTTTCACAGTAAAACGTTGCCACAGCCATCTATTTCCCGCTGATTTGTTTCAGCAGTAAACAGTTATTTTTCCTAATGGCAGCAGTCTAGTCAACTTACCACTAACAGCAGGCTTACCTAGATTGGGGGAAATAGCCTTTATGTGACTAGGCTTGCGACAGTACTAGCAGGTGATGGACTCGAGATTCTTATCTCTTGCTCCTTGCTGATTTTGAGGCAGATGTCGTTTTTCAACTCCAACTTCCACGTTTGGATGAATTTCAGACTTCCGTCCACGATGATCACTGCACATACCAGGCTGCTGGGAAGAAAAGTTAAGGGACGGCTCAGACAAGGAGTCGTTGGTCTCAAATGTGTCAGCGAGTCAAGTTTAGCCGCCTCCATAACTATTGCCACTGAATGGTCTTCTGAACACACCAGAACCTCTGGTGAAACTGACTCAGGAAGATTGTCAAGGGAAACCATTTGCACTGGACCACTGAAATTTACGACACCAGTAAACTTGTACTATTTAATAAAGATTTTAGATTGTCCACGAACAAAGTCCACGTGGGACTGACCCAACTAACGCTTATTCAGTTTAAATTATCTCTTATATTTGTCAGGAATGCACTGAGTACAGCTACTTTCACAATGTCTTAATTAGCAAAATCTTCACTCAAACCAATTGTAAATTCCTGCGCTCTGCCGTATAATGCTGTATGAACAAGTGCTGCCTAATGCTTGAATGACCGTCACAAAGCTTGAGCCTGGTGATCGAGACTCGCGAAATTGCTAAGGTTCAGAATCAGAAAACTGAGGTACTAGCGACACATGTTTCTGAACACTGAATTTGTCATCTGTAGTACGCTGAAACTGTCTCCTCTCTTTCTATCATATTCCTCCTTAGCAAATGCAGGTTGCTACCTGGTATGCTCAAGATTGAGTTTAGCCAACTCATGCACTAACGAAGCTGACTTCCCCTTCCCCCCATCCCCCAAGGCAACTCTTATTCACCACTTGTTTCCTCAGGTGGATAGTGACAGCAACAGGCTCCGGAGTTTGTCCTCACCCATTACAAAGTTATCGAAGCTTGGATCGGCGATTAATAGCTCCCGTAGCAGCTGAAATTTCAGGTTGAAATTCCGTGTTACACGAGTCAAACCTTCAATTTACTGCATATACACTCGTGAAGCTTTGCAGCAGTTAGTTGATACTCTGTACCAATATAAGAAGCAATACCACAGCAGTGTTGTAGAGATAGTTTTGAAGGGTATATTCAGTCACCCATCACATACATGCATCAGTGGCATAACCCACCAACACTGTTAACAATAACACACACCTTGGCAGGTTTGCAATGCAGTACTGTAGGCAGGCTTGTAGAGACAAAGACTTCAGGACAGGCACCCCATATTACGAACACAGATGTAGTCTACTGGCCTGCACACCTGGGCGTAGTATAATAATCAAGGTAGAAACGAGGAACAAGCAAAAGGCAGCAGAGTGTAAATACTTACATTTCATTCACCAAAATGTAAGCAATGTATGTACTATATATACAGAGGATATGTACATTATGTACATTATGTACATTAAGGTAGTGTAAGCAAGAGACACGGTGAGAACCGTCTTGGACCAGACTTGGAGGTAAGTCTGCCAACGTTGATTCACGAGTGTACCACATCGATTCACATCTTTGGTGGACTTGTCATTGGCTGGTTGAACCAAGGTACTAGCATAACGAGGGGATCGCTACTCATTTATACCCTTAGCACCTAGTTCACTGGTCGGGAGGGCATGGGTATATGGGTGTGTGACATACACCCAGTAAAATGTAACATACTCTTAGCATGCCACATAAGGTGTCAGCATGGTGAAGCAGGGTCTGCGTGGTGATGCAAGGTGTCAGCGTGGTGAAGCAGGGTCTGCGTGGTGATGCAAGGTGTCAGCGTGGTGAAGCAGGGTCTGTGTGGTGACGCAAGGTGTCAGCGTGGTGAAGCAGGGTCTGTGTGGTGATGCAAGGTGTCAGCGTGGTGAAGCAGGGTCTGCATGGTGATGCAAGGTGTCAGCGTGGTGAAGCAGGGTCTGCGTGGTGATGCAAGGTGTCAGCGTGGTGATGCAAGGTGTCAGCGTGGCGATGCAAGGTGTCAGCGTGATGCAGGTTGTCATCATGGTGATGTAAGGTGGTGATGTGACAAGCTTGACCATAGTAATCTTGGTGATGGTAATGCTGGTGTTGCAGGCATTGTGTTGGCTGCTGGTGTTGCAGGCATTGTGTTGGCTGCTGGTGTTGCAGGTATTGTATTGGCTGCTGATGCTGCGGGCATTGTGTTGGCTGCTGGTGGTGTTGCAGGCATTGTGTTGGCTGGTGGTGATGCTACAGGCACTGTGTTGGCTGCAGCTGGTGTTGCAGCCATTGTGTTGACTGCTGGTAGTGTTGCAGGCATTGTGTTGGCTACTGGTAGTGTTGCAAGCATTGTGTTGGCTGCTGGTGGTGTTGCAGGCATTGTGTTGGCTGCTGGTATTGTGTGCTAGGGCATACAGAGTGCCAGAGGGCAGGGGCATGCTAAGTTTAGTGTAGCCTGGTGGCACCTTGGCAGTGTGGTGGTGGGGTGCGTGAGGGAAGGAGTGTCACACACGGCACTGTTCTACACCATGAGTGCCATCAGGAGGTGAGAGGAGTGCCGGCATGAACCACCACCGTGGCAACACTAACCTTCCCTCAGTCTTCCCTAGCTTAACGGGGCCCTGGTCTGGCTATGTCCCCGGCACTCACTCCGTCTATGGCCCACCTCCCAGGTTCCCTTACAGCCTGGATGGCTCGCGTCCTCGCCATAACTACGTCCCTGGAGGTGTCGTAGGTGGCCCTGGTGGCATCGTACGTGGTCCTGGCGGCATCGTACGTGGTCCTGCGGCATACGGTAGCTACGCACGCTCGTTGTCTCCCGTCTTGCACAGAAACGTTGAGTATTCTTCGCCCGAGAGACGTCTCTCGCCTCCCGTACCCCGTCATCGCGCTCACAATGACTCCGTCGCCGCCGCCGCCAGCGCCGACTCTGCGGTGTACAACGCCGACCCCGTGGTGTACAACGCCGGGTTCACCTTCAGGATGGGCAAGGAGACCCAGGTGCACAACCATGTGGAGGCTCACCCGGCCTACACCGTGCCGGAGGCCGAGTCATCCAGCCTCACCCGTCAGATAGACAAGTTCCTTAAGAAGACGGACCACATGCTCGATAGATACAGCTCTATCGTGGAGTCCAGATCTTGCAGCGGCATGGCGAAACGTCGCGGCAAGCCAGCGACTAATGGGCGAAACATGGACGACTCTCCTGAGCCTTCCATGTCTCTCTCCTACCGCGCTCAGCACTCGAACTCAGCAGCAGCCATTGCGGTCAAGGCTGCCAAGCACTTCGAAGCTCTTAGCCGCGGGGGCATTAAGAAGGCGGCGGCGGCGACGGCAGCGGCGGCGGCGGCGGCGGCAGCGGCGGCAGCACCCATCGCCGAACATGAAGGGGACGACGACCTGGACTCGTCCAGCAGCGACAACCTCAACGACCTAGACACTGACGACGACCTCCTGCAATCCACCGATCTCTTCAGCATCTCAGACGACACTTCGGCAGACCTGAGCAAGGTACCACCCCCCCTGGACGACTCTGACCTGATCACTCTCCTGGACGACCTTGTGTGACCTGACTACCCCCTGGACTACCCTGTGTGACCTGATCACTCCTGGACTTCTCTGTGTGACCTGACCCCACTGGACGACCCTGTGTGACCTGACTACCCCCTGGATGACCCTGTGTGACCTGATCACTCCTGGACTGCTCTGTGTGACCTGACCTCCCTGGACGACCCTATGTGACCTGATCACTCCTGGACTGTGGGTGACCTGACCCCCACCCTGGACGACCCTGTGTGACCTGATCACTCCTAGACTACTCTGGGTGACCTGAGCCCCCCCTGGACGACCCTATTAGATTTGACCCCCTCCCCCCTCGACGGCCCTGTGGGACCTGATCTCCCCTCTGGACGACCCTATGTGATACTAGTAGTACTGGTGGCACTGGTAGTACTGGTGGTACTTGGGTTGTCACTTTTGTCTTGTAATGTGTTGAGAGCGTCCGTCAAGGCAGATGAAATAAAGTTGCAAGTTGTGAGATAGTCTAGTAAGCGCTTGTGTTGTTCTCTCAGCAACACAGAAGAGGTATCTGATAGTATATACGTAGAAGATTCTGGAGGGATTGTTGCCTAACCTGCACACTACCATAACACTTTAGTGGAGTGAAGATGTGGGAGAAAGTGTAGAATAAACACAGTGAGACAGGATCAACAAGAATACTAATGAACATTAGGTTAGTTTGCGTGGTCCTTGACTGTTCAACCTCCAACCTGCTGATATCAGAAATATTGCTGGAACGAAGGCCAATTTTTAGAAGGAAACAACCCCTTGGAAATTCCTCATTAACCATCCTGTACTGATTATGTAGACATGGGGGAGGTAGCACACACAGCCTGCTTGACCAGGCTTGAGGCCGGGCTGTGAGGGTAGAACACTGAACACCAGTGACAAGTGTGGGTATGTGACAGGTGGTACAGTATCAGGGACGAGGCTGAAGTGATTGCTACTTGTTCCTTGCCAGCACTTTGCTTGCCAGGAACACTGAAGGGCAAGTGGAAGTTTTAGTTCAGTAAGAATGTGAACTTGAACGATAGACATTTAGGCAGAAGAACCACAGTGATCCTGGAGAAATCTTTTCAAATGCACTGTTTAATACAAAATTGTGATCGTGTGTCAGTGTGTGTGACTGAGGTGCACAAGTGTTGGAGGAAGAAGTGTTTTGATGTTTGTGCAAGGTATTTCAACCAGGTTGCCAATGTTGGGGGTGAAGTATGTGGCGTGCATGTGAGGCTGCTCACACTACATACACTGACACCACCACCAGTGCCTCTCAGGCTCTCAACCAACAACCCTCACACAACCACCACCTTCATCACAACCCACCTACAGGAGTGCTGGCTGCCTCTTACACCCACCTGGGTGTCACCCATCACTAATCCATCTTTCGTGTTTACAAACTGGAACACATCATGACAGTGTAGCTGAACACTGTGTGTGTGTAGAAGCCTGTCTGGCCCAGGTGTCAACCAGCCTTGTTAGTGTTGTGAAACACACACAGAAGTCTAACTTGGGAGTTAAGGTGAACGATAGATCGTGGAGGTGACATTGTAAAGTGAAGCACAGCTACGACACTAGGTACCACCAGGTGATGAGCAGGTCGTGTGAGCATCAGTGTCAACATAATGTTCAGTCTCTGACACCGCCACAACACCACATATAACTCAATGTTGATGTTGCTGTAATAAGAACATAAAAATGGAGGAACACTGCAGAAGGCCTGCTGGCCCATACAAGGCAAGTCCTTATCAAAACTACCCCTACCCAAAGCTACCCATGAATTTACTCCCGTACCCAATGACACCAATCAAACCCAGCCCCTCCCACTCGTATATTTGTCCAATTTCCTACCTCAGTGCTACCTTTCCTTCTGTCATTGTTGCTACTACGATAACTACCTCTGCTACCCTTCCTTCTGTCATTGTTGCTACTACGATAACTACCTCTGCTACCCTTCCTTCTGTCATAGTTGCTACTACGATAACTACCTCAGTGCTACCTTTCCTTCTGTCATTGTTGCTACTACGATAACTACCTCAGTGCTACCTTTCCTTCTGTCATTGTTGCTACTACGATAACTACCTCAGTGCTACCTTTCCTTCTGTCATTGTTGCTACTACGATAACTACCTCTGCTGCCCTTCCTTCTGTCATTGTTGCTACTACGATAACTACCTCTGCTACCCTTCCTTCTGTCATTGTTGCTACTACGATAACTACCTCAGTGCTACCCTTCCTTCTGTCATTGTTGCTACTACGATAACTACCTCTGCTACCCTTCCTTCCGTAATTATTGCTGTAATAGCTACCTCAGTGCTACCACCGTCATTGTAGATCAATGGTTCAGAGAACCGACAAGTTGATAAATTAGACACATGTGCAACTCTTGGGTATCTTTATTGAGGAAACGTTTCACCACACAGTGGCTTCATCAGTCCATACAAAGGAGAACACTGAAGAACAAGGAGGAGTTTGAGGTACTCAGTCCCTCAGCCTCGAGTCGATGTGGTCAGTCCATAAATCTTGAATTCTTTTCAAGATTGATGGACTGACTACATCGACTCAAGGCTAAGGGACTGATTACCTTGTCTTCTAGTGTCACTAGTTTCATCACCAAATAACCACTGTGTTGAACTGATAGTGTGTGAAATGTCTTGATAATAAAGATACCCAGGTGTTACACAGGTGTTACACAGGTGTTACACAGGTGTTTCGAAGGTTTCAGGTAAAAATGAAACATGTGCAACTAATTCGACATTTTTATTGTGGCAACGTTTCGTTTCCCAGGAGGGACACAAGGTATATATAGGTATTAGAGTGAGGTGCAAAGCATAATATAATCGTTGTAGGTTGTAGTAGTTGTAGGACTTGTGGTAGTAGTAGTAGTAGTAGTTCTTTGACAACAGACTATCAAGAGCAGGGAGGAGAGCGTCACGAAAAGTGAACAGGTTAGGAAGACCTCTCCAATTTTTACGGCGCGCTCCTTCCTAGTAGTAGTAGTAGTGGTGGTGGTAGTAGCAGTGGTAGTAGTAGCAGTGGTAGTAGTAGTAGCAGTGGTAGTAGTAACAGTTATGTGTTGGCAGGGTTTATTGTTTTGAGGAGAATTCTTTCTAATACTTCAGATATTACGAAGCTGCCTGTATTCTGTTTAATTGCGTTAGAAATAGCGATTAATGATGATTCAAGGCATTTACGTCTACGGAAATTGGGTTTAATTATTAGTCAGGCCGTTGGATTTCATCAGGTGATTAGCGGAATTCCGGTGTTGTACGAAGGCATTGTTCAAGTTATCGTTCCTACATGCATTAATGTGTTCACTGAGACGTGTTTCGAGGTTTCTTGCTGTTTCACCTATGTATATTCTGTTACAACCTCCACATGGGAGAGTATAAACCCGTGTGTTGCTTGGTTCAATATTCTTCAATTTCGTCCTGGTCAGATCTTTTGCGGAAGTACTGGTTGTGATGGCGACTCTAGTGTTAGCTTGTGCGAGTAGTTTAGAGACATTCAGTACAACCTGGCTGTAGAGAAGGATCATAACTTAGGAGTGGTGTTAGTGCGTGCTGAATTGATCTGAAGGACTCGTTTTCTTGCAGTCTTTGATGAAAAAGGAAGGAAAATGGCAATGTTTTGCGCATGTATGTACACTCCTCGTCAAGAAACTCGACTACAAATTCGATATGCTCTTAGGAAAAATCCCATGATGATGACGCTTCTTTTCGTCTTAGTATCTTGACTGGAATAGAAGTGTGTGAGATTGTTTTTGATTGTAGCCTTCCTGTACACTTTATGTTATCTACTTAGTGAATGAGGACGTCTAGAAAAGGTAGCCTGTCATTGGACTCTTCTTCAAGTGTAAACCGGATACCCGGTTAACCCGCGTTGAGCCTTTGTCTGAAGATTCTGCACATCAGAACGTTTGGGAGTTATGATGTTGACGTCGTCCACATAACCAAGTGACGCTGGTGGGGATGACGATGGTGAAACGTTCATCTTCCAGGTGTTCCGTATATAAGTTAACTAAGACGGTGCTGATTGGGGATCCCATACCCATACCCATAGAACCCATTGAGCCCGATTTCCATCTCATAGTCTGTTAGCGAAAGAACAGCAGTTTAGCTTAATGAAGAGTTTAATCAGGTCAACAGTATCTCCGGGAGGTATAAGAAGATTAAGGTCCTGATTGACTCTACGTCGTAGAACCTTAATGACTTGTGTGGTGGGTACTTTAATGAAGAGGAAAGTTACGTCCAAACTGCTTAGTTTCTTGTTTCGGATGGAGAGGTCTCTGATGCGGTTGAGAAGGTCGCATGGATGCTTAATTAAGATGAGCGGGGCTGATGGTCCCCAGAAGACAGGAAAGATGTTTGGCGAGAACTCCGGCTAATTTGTGTGGTGCACTGCCTGTACCTGATGTGATTGGTCTCGGAGGGATATTGTGTTTATGGGTCTTAAGTAAACCATACATATGTGAAGGGTTAGGGTTGCTGGGTATCAGGTGCAGAAGTTTCTTACCTTCACTGGTGCGTCTGAGTGTGTCTGGTTTTGTATAGGAAGTCCTTGGTGAGTGTCTCTCATTGTTGTGTATTGATGGACTCATATATAGACGGGTCTTTCAAAAGGTCTATCATCAGGTTGTAGTCGCTAGTGTTGAGTATGACGACTCCACCTCCTTTGTCAACTGTGGTGACTATAATATTTGGGTGATTAGCGAGGGGTTTAAGAGCAGTGATATACCGTCTGTGAAGACTGGCAGAGGAAGGCTCACACACTGCTATGATGAGTTTGTCCGGTATGTAACCTTCCTGGTAGTTACTGTCACTGTCTCTCTGGTTTGCGTGTAACACTTTTGTAACATATGTGTTACACAAGTGTTAAGCACGTGTTAAACAGGTATTTTGTTCATACATTTGTGGGTATTGTGTATCATCACTGCTACTATACCATACTTCCTGC